TGATATATATATATATATAATTATATATATATATATATGAGAGAGAGAGAGAGAGAGAGAGAGAGAGAGAGAGAGAGAGAGAGAGAGAGAGAGACAAAGAGAGAGACAAAGAGAGAGAGAGATAAAAAAGAAAAGTCAACCTCCACCCATCTATTTCTTATTTCTTCACACCAACATGTATTTGAGCCGAAAAAAGAAAAAAGATCTGTAATCATATATAAGTCGGTTTTCTACAACAAATGAAAATAATAAATTTGGAAAACAGACAACGTTTTTACCAAATTTCCAAAGCTTTCTTTATTTTTTCAATCCATGATTACAACATACACAATTATTTTTGAGACAACACCCGATATGGCGTTCAGTAATTGTAATATTTGTTTCGTATTCATATGGTGCGAGTAGTGTGATCCGTTCTTATCTAGTCATACAAGGCAATTTTTAATATTCATCAAACAATTATTCTGTTTTTCTTCGATTCTCTCTCTTCCCTCTCTCTCTTTTTCCCTTCACGTAACTGTCTTTTATACAATTTGCTACGAAACTTTCGAATTTTATCTCTTTTTCCTCAACTTTGCATGACGACAAGCAATTTTAGTAATAGAACGAACTCAAATTGTCAAAGACACATCATTCGCCATGGCAAATTAAAAATAAAAGACGAAACGCTCGGAAATTCTTCCGGCTGAGTTGCAGATTAATTAGCTTTTCGAAGAACTTCAGGTAGAAGGTTAACTTCAACCAAGTTTGGCCATTCTTCATATGCACATCTTCGAATTCTCAGAGTTGTCATCGTCATCAAACCAAATATAGTTGTTCTCAGTCAAAAAAACTTGTTAATCTCTTGATGAGATGAACACCAAAACACATCTTCATCTTCCTGCTCTTCAACCAAATATGGCTGTTGAGCAATGTGTTTGAGACCTTTTGTTTCTTGAAAATGAATAACGTATGATGAGGGAATACGATGATGAGAAGGTTAATTTATGGATATATGAATTTCATGAATATAAAAAAGCTAAGAAGGCGCATGGTTTTTATGAAGAAGAGGCTTACTACGTGCTAACAATTCGATAGCTCATGAACATATCTGACGTGAGCACCAAGAATAAAGAGAGAATGAAAAAAATTAAAAAGAATGTTGAATATGCGGTTCTTATCCAACTTTTGTTTTGAACTATCATTTCTTCTATATGAAACAGCCCAGAATGGCCTTCCGGAAATAAAGAAGACAGACAGATGCCGATGGGATAAGAAATTTAATGATTATGATGATGCATAATGGAATCGGATATGATCATTAGTGAAAAGAACGAAGACAAACCGTCTGCATTCCATACATTTCTCAAATTTTCGTGGGAATTAACATATCCTAAGAGTGCACAAATCATCTGAGAAGAAGAAGAGAAACATATAATAAGGTAAGAGGGATGAGCAGAACTACCTCATTAGTTTCGTCGTTCTTCTCTCCTTTGTCTTCAATCTCTGCGCGTTTCTCCTTTTCTCTTTATAAACAAAAATCTTAATTTCTTTTGTACGTTCAACACATGAAGAATTTACATCTTTGTTTGACAAAATCTGTTGAGGGAAATAGCTTTTATGAAAACCTGCGAAAAGCTGTGTAATACTTGAAGACTGTACCCAGACCAGAGAAAAGTGCTACCTCATTCTCTACCTAATCTCTTCTCTCTCTCTGTCTTTTCCATTGTGATAGGAGCGTTTTCACTTCTTAACACTACTTTGGTACGTGAGCTCAAGAACTTTTGAAATTTTAAACACGCAAGGCATTACATCATGCATTGTGTTCGAAATTCATCTCACTGAACTGAAGAAATTTCGAAACGAACGTTCCGCTTCCAGAAACTAACAAACTCTTGAAATGTACGTCAAGAGAGGATGTTTACAAAACTTCTATGACCATATGAGACAAAAAGAAACTAAAACAAACTTTTTTCAAAGCACAAATATTGTTAAAAACTGACGTTTTCGTTTAGACGTAGGAACTTATTCTTCCTCTTACCTTTTTTGTTTTTTCCAGCTCTCACTTAAGTCTCGTCAAAGTCTCTCTTTTGTGATTCTCCCTTCCGCTCATATGGCCATATTTCTTTTTCTTCTCGTTAAACTTCATTTATCATCTTTAGTGGAACAAGTTTAGCCAAAGTACTAAAGCCATCTAATATTCTGTCCATTTATAGAATTAAGCATGTGCAAGACTGAGAAAGTGACGTAGTCGAGATGAGAGTAGAATGGGGCTACAGCTAATTTTGCGATCAAAAGAAGAAGAATGTGTAAAGAAAGAAAAGTTATTTTAACATTTTTAATATATATAGAGAGGGAGAGAGAGATCGAACAGAAGATCACTTTCAAGTGGGTTAATGAAGCGGATGTATTGTAGTTGTCTATGGATGGGATGGAGTGGCTTTTAGGGGATAAAATTATTTTGTTCCTATTTTTTTGCTTTTATCACCTTTCCACTCCTCCTATCTTTTGAAATCCTCTCATATCTTTCAGTCTCTTCTATATCCCTCTATATATCGTCCGTCTTTTTCTTTTCCTCTCTTGCAAAGGTATTTCTAACTTAGAATAAATGGGCGGTTCCTTCGTGGGTCCACTATATAAGACGACATTTCGCTGATTTCAGCAGTTCGTATTCTCCTCCTCCTCTTCTAAATTGGACGATATCATATTCAGCTCTACTTGAGACATCTTCTAACATCAGATTAACATCTGATTAAAAATTTGTTGTTTATTTTATATTGCTGTGAAACATTAATTGAAAATTTTTTTTCAAAACTATCTTATCGTATACCAGTTTCACTTACTATTATCAAAGACTTACTGGTATTTACTGTCAGTATGAGATACTTCAACTTCTTCTTCATTCTTGTACTTCTTCTCTCAACAACCTTGTCCATTTATGGACGAGTATTCGAGAAAGAAGAAGACTGTATGATCCATGAAAATGAAACTATTCATGAGATAATGGATCGAATTTGCGAGATGTGTCATGAGTTTGCCAGTCACTCAAAACCAAATATGCGATTTGAATGCAGGTTGGTATTTCGTTTCTTTTTGTTTTTATTATTTTCATCCTTTTTTGAAGTTTGAACAACAGTCTTATGTTTTTAGGTCTCAATGCTTCACAACTGAAACTTTCCGAACTTGTCTGAAACTTTTCACGCCTAAACGTCATACTCGACATAATCGCAGATACTAGAAAACGATTGTCATCATCCAGCCGAAAGCTTATGTCATTATGATACATGAACAATCAAAGAAGTTCTACTCATTTCGGAAATCTGCAAAGGAATTATGTAGTCAATGCTATTTACTACTACTTGAATTTTCAAAATCTTCCATTGAAGACCAAACTCATAGCATTTGTATGCTTCATTTGTCCCTTGATGATGTAACCTTATCACGTACTTTCTAGTTGAATTCGCTTTTGTGCAGCCAACTATAAGTATCTTTCTCCTTCTTTAACATGACATTCTGTATGTTAAGGAACTGTAATTCATTGGAAACCCACATGTCACTTCTATTGCTCTACCAACTATTTTCTGTCAAATATCGCCTCAGGCCTTCCCGGTTTCATATGATCTTCCAATTCGTTTCCTTTCTTTTTTTAGAAATAGTTTTATGAAAACTGATTTGGTTATCTCAGGCTGTGCTCTAGGAATTATATTGTTTCTTCTTCTTTTTGTTTATCTTCTTTCATCCCATAGCTGTCCAATATAACAATCCTACTGAGCTCCATTCCTTATATATTCTCTTGCCTAGAAAACGTCAGCCAAGAGAAACATTCCTTATAATCCTGTTGCTTACTGGTCGAACCCCCATAGATGACGATCTCTTGATGTTACTTTTAATATTTTTTTTCTGTCAATCTGATAGTTTATTATAAAAAGAGTTGTTAACCATCGTTTTCCAAGAAAAACATATTATGACAACATGGTGTCTTTAGTTCTCATGAAAAGCGTTCAATGACATGCTTTTACCGGTAAAAAAATAAAAGTTTCTTTTAACTCTCCATTTTGCCAATTATAGCAAACTGCTGATTTGATCATCTGAGTATACCTCAAGTATACGAAGCCAATTCAAAGCTCATTTAGTTTGCAGGAGAAAGTTAAAAAATAGCAAAAAGTTGCAGAAATTTAAAAAAGTTGCTCGCCTTTACTCTCGTGGCGCAGACTTCTTGTTGATTATCTCATGAAGCCAGCCGAAAAAAGATTTTCTAGTACAATATTTTGGGAGAAAAAAAACAATTTCATATGTGTATTCATCTTTTAAATACAAAAAATGTTTTGAATTATAAAAAAAATGCGAAAATCTCCAAACATTCTGAAAAGACATACACGTTGCTTACATCATCCACCCCGCCTCCAATATATGGGAGGAATTTTCTACACTTCTCCGAACTCTCTCTGACGTAGAGAGATGACTCCGCATATTTCAAATATTATCAGTCAGCGAGAGATGAAATTAGATTCATTGCAAGTCATGGCAACAACTCATGCAGCCCGTCTTCATAATAGGGAAACCTCCGCAACTCATTTCTCATTTTCATAACACTTTTAATCTTTTTATATCATGTGAGTTTTGTATTTCTCTTGCAGATTTTCTCTAAACATAAAAGGAAAACAAAAAAATCTTCATGAGAGTACTGTGTTCGATCATCGCGTCTCGTACGCAGTCGAGTGATGATCATTTGTTCGGCCGATCCTCCCCTATAGTTCCTTGTTACTGTTCCCCTCCTTCAATTTCTCTCTTGGCATATTCATAAACTATTCTCGATGGAGTTTTAAAGCTATTAACTTCCATATTGTTCGAAAATCTGTTTTAGACAAACCTTTTTGTATTTATCTTTGTATTTCCCCCTATCTAAAGATAGTTCACGATGTTTTCTCTGAATGAACTTGATATAACAGCTTTCATAATTTTATAACTTTTATTATTCTTTCGGAAGTTTAGTTTTCGAACAGAAAATCGAATTGTTTCCTAGTGGTGTGATTATTTTTGGAAGTTTTACAGTTTTCATGGTCACAACATGATTAGAACGGGACTCAAGCGTATAGCCAAAGTATTTGTCGGCGGATGTGTGCTAGTTACCTTCTCCGACAGTATCGGTCATCCCGCTGTAGTTTGTGGGAATTCCATGTATCCAACGTTGGATGGGTCCGACGCTAGGTGGTGGAAGAGAGATTTCGTTTGGTTATCGCCTTGGGCCGGGAAAAATCCGCAGATTTCAAATATCCATACATTCACGTAATTGACATATTTATTCCTGATAATATTTTTTCTCTTTAGCTCACCGAGAGATCCTACCAACACACACATAAAACGAATCACAGCTTTGGAGAATGATGTCATCAAGTAATTTTTGATTATTTTCGGAAATTCCATTTTTTTCAGAGTTAGAGACAGAAATGAGTTGATGATTATCCCAAAAGGTTGTTGTTGGATGGAGAGCGATAATCCTTCTTTTGCTAATGATAGTAATATTTATGGCCCAGTAAGATTTGAAAACTTCTTCTAAAATACTTTCATATCATTCAGGTGAGTAGAGGACTGATCAAAAGCAAAGCTACACATATCATATGGCCTCCGCATAGATGGCAGAAAATATAAAGTTATGAATTTATATATCTCTAATTATGTAGGAATGGCACATTATTGTCACATGAAGTAGAAGAGAGATCTTACGTATAAGAATGTTTCTTTCTAATTAATTAAGGATTGAAATTCTTCTTTGGATTTCGAATCAAGAACTGAGTCTCTGATAGCGTCCTCGAGAACTAGGTTCCTAACTCCTCGCTTGCAGAGTTCTTTCACAGCTTCATAACAAACAAGTCTGATCTTAAGAAAAGAGTAAGAATGCACAAATGTTCTGATGTAAAAAAACCTTTTCATCATTAGAATCTTTTAATTCTCTCGCTAAGATGTTGCAGAGTACTTCCATATCGTTGTCGTAGAAAATATTATGAATAGATAGAATTGTATCCTGACATAAAGCTACCAGAAGCTTCAATCGATTCCCTACAGAAATTTGCAAAGTTATTAAAGTTTTTTATCCACGATATCATACATGTTGGCTGTTTGTTCAAGCTTTTGATGTAGAATTCTCCAAATATAGGAGAAACATCTCGGGACATTGCTTCCAGGATTGGATTATTTACTTCCGTCGGTATGATGCTATTGAAGGCGACAAAAAAGTCCATCAGTTCAATCGGATGGAAATGTAAGAGTGTGAGAAGCTTTTCGAAAAACTCCACATTTATATAGTCTGTAGAACTGGACTTATTGATGAATTCATAGTTTTGCTTACCGAAATGACCCAAGGGTGGGCTTTTTCCTATGGAGTACATTTTTGTGAGCACATCCAATGCCAAAAGCTGCATTTCTTCGAAGGGTTGTTGTCGGTAAGATATCTGAGAAGTAAATGGTAATTCTTAATCGTTTTGTAACTGAGAACCTTTTGGACAATTGTCATGGAGAGATTTGAATCTAGGAAAAAATCTGTCAGGTCTTCACAAAACTTAAGAAGACTCTGAATGGATTTTAAAGTTTCGAACCGCAGTTCCGTTGATTGCTCCTGCAAAAATATGATGAGCTCGAGCTTGTTACACTATGAACCATCTGATAAAACTCTACCAAACATGCAAGAAGGCTGTAATCATCTCGTTTTATAACATGAACAGGGATTTTGCTTTCGGTTTTGCTCTGAAATCACAAATATTCGAACATTGCGAGTCGAAAACAGAACAAACCACAAAGTCTCGGAATATCTGTAGCAATTGCTTGATAACAGGGTCGTTGTCGGTATAAGCATAGTTATACTACAAAGAACACAATAAAATAAAGTTTGAATGGTAGCAAACTACTTCAGCCTTTTGAGTGATTAAACTTGTAAGCTCTTGAACTATGTACGTTAAACTTTTCCCGTCATAACTGTTTTCAATATCAACTTCATAGGAATCTATAGCATCATGGATTTTCGAAAACTCGTCGGTTCTTAACGAAAATTGTCCTTATAACAGTATAAAAAACAAAACTAACTTAACAAATTTTGATAGTGAAACCATTACGGCTTTAGCTGCTTCAATACATGAGACTAAGGAAGCATTTGTTTTTTCGCGAAGCTCATCCACAATTTCTCCCGCTAAGTGTTTCTCGTTCAGCACCAAATCATACATTTCTAAACTACTTATTTGTTTCATAATAGGAAAACTTCAAGTATCCATAAGGTGATTCCTTCTATTAACGATTATTCGACAAAAAATTTTATTTTTATGTTTATAAACACTGAAGCGTTTGACACAAAAGCAATTCTAAACACAGTACACTTAATCTCCAAGTCCCAACCGAGGTTGTAAGGCAGCAATTAATCTTTCTACCATGTCGTCAGAATCTACATCATCATAATCATCGTCTGAAAAATCAGATTCTCTGAAAGAAAGTACAGTTATTGGAGACAGAGCAATATCAAGCACTGCCTAAACAAAAATCCGGAAAGTTGTGGACGTCTTCTAACATGAGGGCTTGTACCAGGGTCTATAGCTCCATCAGGCATTTGATGCTTATAGAAACACTTATTACCAAACGGACACCCATCACTCGACTTATTCTTCAAAGTTTTGAAATTCAGTATGCACTAAGTTCAAATCGAACCATATAATATTTGCACAGCTTTTCCTTGGTATTTTCTTTGTATAGTTCTACCAAAACAGTTTTCTCGTCATCCTCTTCAACCCAATAAAGAGAAGGAACCACATAGTCGCTGTGAACGCGGCATTCTGGGCAGGATCTGCAAAATTTGTAGGTTGTTTTGAAAAATGGAAGTCTTTTCGCACCTCACAACCTTCGTTTCGAACTCTTGTTTTTTACGCCACTGTCTGATACAATCGAGACAGAAGCAATGCTTACATCCTTCCAAAATTCCGAATCGAGAAGACTGAATTGTGATTAAATTTTCTTAGACGGAATGAACACACCTTCTCAAAAACATTATCCATACAAATTCCACATTGCTTCTCTTTACTTTTAGCCTCAGCGAACGCTTGCTCCATGGCCCTGTGGTGCGTGATCAGACATTCCTAAACAAAGTTTGAGTCAGAGCTTCAAATTGAAACAATATCCTACATTGAAATGAGCTTTTTTTTGCTCCTCATCATACGGATGTAAACAAGCAGTTGAACACATTTCACAGACATCTCCATGTATTAAACTAAAATTTCGCAACCTTTCACAATTCCATGATATTTCACTTACGTGCAATTATCAACCAAACATTCTCCCATTTCAAAATAAGGGCACAATGGAATGTCCTTCTCGCAAACTGTGCTACTCGTTCCAACAACTTGGGAATAGCTTGTACCTGAACGGGAAACGAATATTGGACTTTGGACTCAAAAAATATTACCTGCTTCTGCTCTCTTCCAGCTCGGAACAAATTCTGCAGCTGCAACATTCAATCCTGCCTTTGGCAACCGCACTGGCTTTGGTAGTGAATGAGATTTTGTGGGAATCTGAATAAGCATATCGTTTGGTATCTCTGATATGAGCATTCGTACTTCTTTTTTTTCTTTTTTCGGCTTAATATGGTCAAATCGGCATGCCGAGTCATATAGACAACTGTAGAAAGAGGGATTATAAGTGATAAATTGTGTGAAACAACATACGATCCTTTCAAATAGAAAGCACAAATCATGTCTGGTTTCGAGCTTCTATCATGTGAAAATTGACAAGCTTCTGCCCTGGTACAACAACCATTGGCGAAATACCTGCAATGATGTGAATTAGGGTAGACGAATAGAAAACTGTGATCACCTGCAAAGATTGGGACTTTCCCTTTGCATTTTTTCTGAAGATGATGTAAATTGATTGGTAACGAGCATTACGAAAGTAGCTTATGAAGATTCAACATCTTTTGTTTAGAGAACATGTGATTTAAAATGTTTTATGTACATACACGTTAAAAAAAGTATAAGACACTGTAATAAATTAAAAATATTCCAGGGAGTTTTTTTGTGAAATCTATGAGAAATTGCCATAATCGTCTTGAACGACATATTACGCAATAGAGCACTGAAACTTTCGTAATAAAATTTTCATTTCAGAACATTGTAAAAACCTTCTGTGTTTTGGGTGTTGATCTCTCTGTATGACCAGTTTGGCTTCTGTTTTCTAAAGGTAGACTATCAGGAGGACGACTAGTGGTGCTTGCTGATGGAACTGCGCTTTCGGAAGAAGCACCTTCTGGAGACAAACCGTTATATTGAGCATCTAATTGTTTAGCTAATTCATAGCTACAAACGACACCGATCAAGTTACTAAACTACTTATTTCACAAACTCTGAAACACTGCTTGAAGATGTAGGAGCGGGTTCTCTGTTGTTTTGATTAGTAGAAAATCGGGAGTCGACATAAATTGTATCTCCTCAAAACCAATCTTTGATATTAATTGAGATGATAATGATATTAACCTTCAATGCTTTGAAGTACTTCCCAAATTAAGCTTGGTTCAGTCACGAAACCAATGTCTGTGCAAAGGACATGAGCCAACTTCTATATACAGAATGAACAGAACATCAAAAACTCAAAAACTTGCATTCATTTTCAAAACTGTGTGGAAATGATTATTTCTGAAGAGAACAGCAATTTCTCTGTTTGACATTTTGTCTACTAAACCAATCAAGCCCGTATAAGTCATCTGGAAAACTCGGTTGGAAACGAAAATTATGCATGTCCCAACCTGAGACTTCGTTGTTTCGAGAAACTGTGCCAAGATTGGGTTCTCAATAGCTAAAGTTGTGGCTTGATTGTATGTCATATTGCCCACATGTTCTTCTATAAAAGAAACATACACAGGAACAAGGAGACCTGAATACCAAAGCCTGATCCGGGTTCAACAACCCAAGTATGATAGAGCGGTATATTCAACAAATCGAAAAGCGCAACGGCAGGAGTGTATTCAAAGGTTGACACACCAGAAAATCTCAAAAAGTCTTAGTGAAGCAGTATATATTCTCTGCTTAAGTTCCTACCTTACGTTAACTTCCAATCCGTCATCAAGTTTCGGCATAAGGTTAAGAACATCATGTAAGGTTTTCTCATAATTATCTTGTTCGCCCTAAACAACACAGAATTCTACTAGAAGCCATAATCACAACAGTAACTGTTCCATTCGCGATAGAAGACATATCCACTATGCAGCCACCGACAAGCTCTTTCAATTCTTTACAAGTAATGTATTCTCTCGAAGAATCAGGGAAAGTTTTGCCACCTGGCAGATTTAGCTTATCTGAGAAGATTGGGGGTTTACATATAGCTTATCGGTTCGTGTTACTTTTCAATACTAGGCAATTGGCTAATGCTATCAGAGGACAAGGACCATTAGCACTCTGCATTACTATTCTTTTTCTATCTTCGAAGAACTGAATAGTTCTCATCTAAAAAACTAGATAGTCCAGGTTTACGTTCAGGAACAAACCACAAACAAATCAGTTCTGTTATCAAAGCCAACAGACTCATCCGGCTGATCATTACCACTTTCAATAAAATTAGGTAGTTCAGTTTGACCTACATTTACTGTTTCTGTCTGAATTTAATGTTTTTTCTCCACAACATTAGCTCTATACACAACAACATATTTATTTACTCACAGTATTGGCACGTATGGCCATTGATCTAAGACTTTCCTCCAAAGAATTGTCATTTTCCATTGCAAATCAACTCTGAAACTCTTTTCGGCTTAATCAGCAATTATCTGCTCGAACTAGTAAAGACAATGAGCAGCTAGACAGAAGATGAATATTTTAGATTCGTGGTTGATGCTGAGTAGTAACTTGCTACATCGCCAAAATTTGTCAATGGAGCGACGCTCAGCAGGATGAAAACACATGAACAAACACACACTTCCATTCAATAATCAAAACAAAACAACAAGAAGTCGATAAGCAGAAATGAAAAAGAGAAAAAATAACAGAAGATTCGGAACAAAACTATTGAAAGAATGAACAATGAGTAATAGTGAATAGAAAACAAAATGTCTTCTGCTCGCAGTAACAAGTAAGAATGTTATCAGTTGCACTCAGTTTTTGCCCAGTAATGTGATTTCAAAATGTCCGAGTGACATCTTCGTCCAGAGTTGAGTCTGAAAACTCTTCTTACTGCAAACATAGTTTAATTTGTCGTTTGGAAATGAGAAAGACTGAAGTAAAAGTTTTATCCTCTTCAAAATCATCCGAAAGAGGTTTAATCTGAGATGGTCAGGACCCAACCTTTCATTAAAGAACAGGAATTCAAAACTGTGCTCCATGGGCAGAGAAGTTTGGGCGGTAAAATATATTTTAAACAGTTTACGATTTGTCTGGAGAAGAAATGTAACTGTTTCGAAATTATAATTAAAATCGATCTATTGCTTATAGAATGATATTAACCGAATTGTCAAATGCATCTAATATAATGGAAAGTCCCGAAACTCAACCTCCCGAAGGAGAAGTTGTCTTTGACGAAAAAACACTGTTGTCATGCAATGTGAGTTTAGATGTTATTATTTGGAACCGTAATAGTTTCAGGCATCAGATATTAACACTTATATTTGTAAAATAGCCAAACTGTTAGATAATTTTTCCTATCACACTCTAGAAGATTCTATTTGTCAAGGTAAGATTCTCACAGCTTATTCTATTCCCTGCCAATTCAGAAAACACATGTCTTAATGTGTTCGGAAACTTAGGTCCTATTCTTGATAATTTTTCAAAATTATTCGATAAATCCGTTAAACTAACAATGGAAACAGAACAATCGGTATTTTTTTTTCTTTTTTTAGTTCATTTTTGATTTGATTCCAGTCGGCAAAAGGTCAAATTTCTGTGATAGATAGTTTGACTTCAGGCAAAGAGTTGAACACTGCTTTTGAAAATATTTTAAAAACTCTTTTGCAAGTTTTCCAGAAAATACAGAAGGGATTTATGGTTGGCTGAGCGTCACAATTTAATTAAATAATGTATTAAGATTTCTGAACTTCTGAGACAAAATGCCGCTTCATTAACGTATGTGATCAACATGGTTGTGAAGAACAGAATGTTCAAAAGTTTGACTACCCATGTTGTTGATAGTACTTCAAAGGTTCCTGTTCTACGCATTCTAACATTCAACGTTCTTTTAGATTTTGCATAGGTTTCAACATGCCTCTTCTGGTCCATATGACGGGACATTTTTCTCCTCTGTAGAGGCCTTTTTCGCAACATGTTTCCTTCACAACAACGCTGGTTTAAAAAACGCAGCCATATCAGCATGGAAAGCCACATTCGATCATTCACGAGATTTGCCTTATACTGATGTCTTCAAGTTTGTAATTTCATGCGTTGGTTTTACTGATTTATGATTTCTAGAAAAGCTTTACTGAAAGTGGGGAAACGCTATGCTTTGTATATTCCTGAGAGCATGGAGGATACTAAAGATGATGATGATGAAGTCTTTGAAAATGATCTTATGCCAAATTTAATAATATTTGTAGGAATCTGTTATAACCACCGTGAAGAAAACTCCGACTGCTTCCAAACGGTATTTCTATATTTGTTTTTTGAATTTGGAAATTTGAAATGTTTAAGGGTAATGGCCATCTTCGATGATGATTCAACTGATTATGTACCCATCGCATCCAGTGCTTCTAAGAAAATCAAATTAACTGAACATCAGAAAGAAATGTTCACATCTACAAAGTGAGCTTGATTTTGGTTCTCTATGACCTTTTTTTGTATCAACAGGGACAAGTTGCCGTTCATCGATGAGGACAGTGTTCAATCCGCAACGATATCTCGCTTAAAAAGCCTACCCTCCAACTTTGATCTCGAAACATCAAGGTGTTTGTTTTCAACAATCAATTTATATTTTTTCTTCAGAAGTGGATTATCAAATACTGTCAGTACTTCTCAAGATAAGATTTCAACTGCTACAGAGCCTCAGACTGAGCCAGAGATTAAGTTCAGGCGCACAGCTATTCGTTTGAACTTCGATGTTACTTAGTTTACTTTTTACCAAGGATCATTTATTGTTTTCAGGAACTTGAAGATAATAAACAACCAAACGTGGAAGAGAAGTCAGCAAGAGACAACGAATCTGTATTTGAAATAATGGAAACTGTTGAAATACTAGAAGTTTCAGATCGAAGAAGATTCCGCATCTGCTGAAGAAGAGAAAGAAGTGTCTGTTTCAAGACGAACAAGAGCTAAAGCAACACCTTCTAAGTATTCCGGACGGAAAAGAGCTGTTTCTGAATCTACACGTAAAGAAGAAGCTAAAAAAGAAAAGTTTGTATCTTTCCGGACACAAAAACCAAAAACCCTTTAGAGAAAGTGTAAATCCTGCAATATCTACTCCAAAGCGGTCTCGTAGACTTCATAAGAAGAAAGGTTAGCTAAATAATGTAAGTCTCATTTTCTTCTCTTTTGCAGTAGCTCTTTCTGATCGGAAGTTGAGGTCTGTACAAGATGATGAGTTATCGTCTTCCTGTCATCCTACTGATTCCTCTGATGAGGTGGATTCTATCAGTAGTTCGGCATCTGCATCCAGTGAATTGAGATCTTCTGATGAGAACGAAGTTCAAGTAGAAGAAGTGGCTACACAAAATATCCCTGAGCTAGTGGAAGAAAATGTAAATATCCCAATCGAAACTGCTGAAAAGGAAGAAGATGCGAATGAAACTCTCTGCGAAGAGCTTGTTGATGTGCAAGCCGAAACAACCCTAAAAGATCATACAGAAACTGAAAAAGATCTGAAGCAAACAGCTCTGGAAAACGCACAATATACTGACGCTCATACAGCAGGTACTTCAAATGTCAACTCGACCCCGGAAAAAAGCATGCCTATGTAGGGATATATCAATTTTTAAGAGTAATGGTTATATTCAGTGACACAATGGTAACAACTCCTTCTACCGTTCGAGTGATCGAATCTCATACACCAGGCATACTGAAAAAGCTGAACAGTCCTTCTACTTCTGAAAGAAAGGTATTTTCTCTGCTAAGTAGTTTCAAATATGAAGATACTTTTTAAGAGATTACGTGTTCATTTCCATGACATAAGCTCAATAAACAACGAGTTGTTGAGTTCTACAATACGCTCTGTTTCAAATGTTACGGCTGTTAGTTCTAGTTATTTTTCTCGGTTATAGGGTAATTTTAGAATTTGGAAATGGAAGACAGTGTTCCAGAAGAGCAATCAGATATTGCCGTTTTCCCTGAACTCAAAGATTCAGATGAACCTATCACGAAAATATTCTTGAAACTTTTACCAATTACGGCGATGGGGTGAGTACAGTTGTTATATTGTTATTTTTTGTTTTCTTAGGAGTAGTTTTCTGAAAGGAGCTTTAAAGAAACAAGGTGTTCACACAGTAGGTGATCTTGCTAAGTTATCGAAGAAAAAAGTCAATTCTCTTCCCATTCGTCTACCCCGTGTACAAACAGTTATAAATGTCTTAGAATCTTTCCTAGCGAACACCAGGGTATTCATCAGTGTTTAAAGATATATGTCAGTTTGTTTTCAGCCTGCCATGGCTCCTCCTATTAATGAAGACCTCCCGTTAAAAGAAGTGCCCATGCTTGATGATAAGGGGCCTCAAGAATCGTATTCCTCTCAAAGCCCTGTGAATGGTTTGTCGTTTCAGAGTTATCCATGTATTTTCTTTTTTTTTTTTTTTAGAAATGCCTGATACAGAGAATGTAGGCGAAACCAATGAGACGATTTCTGATGGATCTCAACTCGACGTTTTGAATGTGATCGAGAACATATCGGAAAAGAAAGGCGAGCAGAATGAAATACCTCAGAACCTCACAATTTCTTCTGATTACGAAAAACTCAAGAATTGTGAGTTCATACATACTTTCTTTGTTTTCAAAAATAATTTAGCCCTTCTCCAATTCGAGTTAAGTTTGGAACTTGAAAAAATTGATATCACCACGTTGGAGTCAGCTGAAGTAAGTTTGTGATGAATATTTTCGAGTCTTATGTGATTTTTCAGGTTTTAAAATTAGTTAGTAAGGCGATGCAAACCTTGTGTGTGCTTCAGAACAATTTGTTGAATAAATTGTGATTTAATAATAAATACTATCTCAAACAAATCGTACTAACAGACCTTGGATTTTCTAAATTTCCTCATCACCGTCGCTCAACATGTTGCATATTACAACTAAATAAAAATTAAGTATTTTCGCTGTTTTAATCAAGAATTCGTACAACTATTAATACCACAAGGCTCAACTTCCAAACGTTGATCAACGGTAATCTGAAACGGGATTACTCAATTATTGAAAATCATTAGTTTACCATAACATGACACTTTTCAAAATTGCGGTAGGAATCAGTTTCGAAACTGGTTTTTTTCAATTTTATTGAGGTTAAAATATAATGAAGCAATTGCAGTTAGGTTTGGATAAAGAGTGTTCTTTAATTTAGAAAAAAAGTATAACACAGAGGTCAACAAGACAAACCTTTATTGAAATTTCATGTAATGGTTGCGAGGATTTCTGGTCGCAACATCGAGAATTCGTTCAAAAAGTCATATTAAAATACTTCTTGGTCTTTATATGTTCGGAAAAATTCAAATTTTCTTTTTATGCTTCTTAATAATGAATTTTTATTTTTACTGCTGAAAAATAGCTTAAATTCATTATTTTAAATTTAAATGGTCTCGTCGCGCGCTGATCGATCTTTCGCCGGACCAGCTTTTTATCGTTCGCCGTTTCGGAAGCACAGTTCAACATGATAAAATGCATTAGTATTTTGATTATTATTATGTCTATTTTAATAAAAATGAAGCTATAGATCTTACTCAGTGGCATATCTGTGTGTTAGTTGCATTAATATAGTTTTGAGACTTACAGACATGAGGGTATTTCAATCCATTTTATTGGTTTGTTCGACAGCTCTCGCTTATGATGCGGTCTTCTTCTCGAACGAACGTGAAATAAGGTAAGATTGTTGTAGTCAGGAAAACTCTAAGAATCATTCTTCTTCAAGCAAGGACTTCCCATCTGTAGAAAATGTTCTCTCCACAGCATCTAAGGATTCTCCAGTTGTGTTTGTCACAAACCCCGACTTCACTTTGGGTTAGAACAACTTCATCAATATATTCAATTTTCTCTTTTTCAGGACAATTTTCGAAACAATCTTCTGCTTATTCCGTTAAGAAGACTGAAAATGGATTGACCAATGCTGTCAAGTCATCCAAGTATCATGCTTCAAGATATATCGAACAACCAATTCTCGTACGTGTTAAGTTCATCTTTGTTTTAACTTGTCTTCGCTTTGAGGTTTCGGAAGCTAATGTGATCACTTCTGAATCTGACTTCAAGCCTGACTCAAGTGTCTACGTCATCTCCGGTGAGGAATACACCTCTATGGAATCTACTTTTGTTCAAGTGAGAACCTTTCTCCTCATTCGCAATTATTCACCTTATTTAAGCTCCAATCAAAAATTTCACCAAAAGCTACTTTCGTTATCACTTCTTCTGAGGCTGTTTCTACTGAAAAGGTATCTTAAAAGTTTGATCTTTTATCTTTACTTCATTCCTACAGGAACGTGTCAAGCGTGTTGCCACCGGAGAGATGGAAAGTCAACAGGTTTTCCTTTTAGCCTATTTATATCCTTACTTTACTTTTTCAAGAGTGATGGTGCAAATGGCGATGGTTTTCCCATGCCAATGAACATTCCTCCTTACAATCGCACTGATGTAACTCCTGCCGTGTCCGTTGATATAACCAAGTGAGCGAAACGTTTTCCAATTTGTTTATTTTTTATGGCGGGTTTCAGACTAGGAAATTGCATGCTTTACCTGGAAGGTGTCAATGTTATTGTTCAATCTATTACTAATAATGGAAAAGGATCAATCTTCGTAGCCATTCCAGTTAGAAGCAACGATTCAGAATGGTTGGTTCTACGGCGCGTTGATTGTTAATTTTCTATTTGCCAGGCTTTACACTGATGGAGATGTCCATTGTTCAAACTCTACTGTTGGAGACTACATGTGAGATTTTTGCCAATTTTCAATATTCTTTTTTTTTTAAGTTTCCACGTGAAGATTCGTACTAAGACTGATGTTGTTGGAAAGAACTTCAACGGAGATACTGCTACTGTTCCATCCGGCACGATCATCGGATTTACGTAATCAAAAATTGAACGTTGTCTTTCTACTTTTTTTTCTTTAAGTTTGAAAATCACCGGAGATCGCGGTGGATATTGGGGTTTGAAGAGCATTGTCGTCGATGGTTTTGCAGTCAAGGGAAGCACCGCTCTCGGATTCTCCGTAATATCTCAAATTATAATCCGCAGAAAGTTTTTTATTTAAGACAGCTCAAACTGTCGATGGTACCAATTCAACTGGAGTTCGAAACATGGGAGTCAACAGCATCCAATACTGGGCTTACGGATGTGGCTCATCACAGGTGTTTACTAGCAGAGTATTTTCTCTTATTGATTTGAATTTAGGCGGCTTTCTTCAAGACTGATCAGACCAATGTCTTTATCGGAATTTCTCTATACAACACTCAGGTTTCTTTACTTTTCGAGTTACGTAACGATCAATCGCGTTCTCAGATTCAACCTTACGGAGTTGTCTCACTAAAAAACAAGAGTGTTTACTTCACACTCAATGTTGATGATTGTACAGGAACTTTCTCAACCGGATCATGGATGGGTTAGCGAAGTTGAGGAAAGATGCCAAAAAATGTATTTTTTTGCAGGAATAATCAGTGTTCTAGTCCTTTTGGCTGGTTTGATCTTCGGATATCTTATGCTACAAAGTGTTGAAACTATGGATAGATTCGATGATCCAAAACAAAAGCAGATCACCATCAACGTTAGAGAATAAATGCTGTGAGGTTTTTAAGTTTGAGTGAGCTTACGATGTGTAAGAACGAATTTTATTTGTTTAGTACTAAATTATAACTAAATGTTTTCATAACACTCAGCTTGTGAATCATTTTCTGTAATTGTTGCGTTGATTGTTCTATTTGGGAACAATTGTGTATAGAGATATCTCGTACTTCTTTTACTTTCATAGATGTGTAGTGTTCTTTCCCATTTACTCTTAGTCAATTAGCCATTCCGTTTACATATTCGCACACGGTGATTTTTACTTTGCTAGGTTGCACCTACACCCTCTTCACCTGAATCGTTTGATGGTTCTCACCCTTACACACACAACTCCAAAAAAGTACTTGATTGTACTGTCTTTGCACATTTGATTAATGTAATCTAATAAAGATTACTTGTGATACATTCCTGTGTGAAGCGGATATATAAATAAAGTTTTATTAATTACTCTGTATTCTTTGGAACTGCATTTCATTAATCAGGGGGTGGGGAGAGTATTGAGAATTACTACTCTGTTCATCATAATGGAATTCATTGGAATCGGATTACGGGATCAAATCATTTAATCTTCATTTCATTCTCTGATAAATTAATTTGTACTTCTACAGTAGCTAGTCCCAAATCCTCCATGAAGTCTATATAAACTGTTCAAACTGTTTCATTATACATCCTCCATGGTGCGTTTGAGGACAGCGCTCTGCTAAAGGCTCATGCCCTATTCTCTTATTACCAGAAATTCTTATTATATATTTATTGCTTCTAGATAACATGCTTTTCTGGGTACTCATAGCATTAGCTCTGACCACCGCTGGTGCTGAAGACTGTCGGGACACTCTGTCTCAGAAAATTTGTAACCTGGGTATGACCTTCCTGACGAAAGCTGAAGTCAAAAAGGTAGTTGACAAAAACAACATTCCCAGCTAATCCTACATCTTGTAGGCTTGCACCTGTATAGAAGATTCGTTTTATAACCTGAACGATCTTAATGATATTGCCTCAAGTAAGTTGTTGTCTTGCTTTTTCATGATATCGTACATTTTAAGAGGGAATCACCTGCCTCATGACCTCGCTCAGCAACCCTCTCAAAGGACTTACTGCTCTATCCATCAAATCTAATAGTATGCGTTCATAAAATACCGAGAAAATTGGAGAAATATTTAAGTTGATAAGTGCTTGAAAGGTTCTCCGAGTGGTGATGCTATGGGACTGATTGAAAAGATGAAGCAACCCATTTTCAACAATATCAAGAAAGTGACAAATAAAGTAAGCCAATTGCAGTTGAACTTTGAAATATTTCGAACTTCCAGCTCTTTGCGGCGATTAAGAAGGCCAAGGGTAACAACAAACCCAAAGAATTCGTCTTACAAAAGGGGTATTGTCTTCTGAAAGCTGCTATTACTAAGAATTTCATCGATAATACCTGTACAAAATGCGTGAAGGTAAATAATTTATTATCCGTTTTTTGTGTTTTTTGGGATTATTTGTATTTTCTAATTTTTACATTTTCTGTTTTAACTTTTCGTAACGAACATATTTCAGAAGCAAATGAACAAGCAGGAGTTGAGTTGCGTTTTAACTGATGCAGTTAAGTTGGTTGATATCAGCAAGTATTCTTGTGCGAAGATCAAACTTTAAAAAATTGAAGTGAACTATCATTGTCCTGTCACGATGTTGTCGATGTTTACTTCTAATCCGTATATTGAAAAGGATATTCCCAATATAATAAAGAAAAAGTTAGCTATTAGTGTCCGAGCAGTTAACAACTTATTTTGTTCTTTAACAACAGATGCAAAGAATGTATTTAAGTAGATAATAGGCGGAAATACTAATGCCAAAAACATTCCTGAAATGGTTGAAAATTAATTTTTTTTCTCTCAGTATAAAGGGAAGGGAAAGAAAAAACAATTAGTAGACAAAGAAGATGAATGAAGTAAAGAAAGAAGACGAACCTGCCGATACGCCCACTAATGGTATCATTTCTTCCAAATTGGGTAGGAGAAATGCTGTTCCAACTGAAAAGCAAACGTTTCTTTTTGTTCAAATACTTTCTGTTTGTTTCTTTTGAACAACGAACCCGTTGAACTCTATAATCACCCACTCTCTAACCTTCATTTCAATTCGTACCTGTGATTAAGAGGAGGATTGAACGAATTAATATTTCAATTGCGATCTGCATCCATCTCGGCTTGCTCTCAAGTTTTGTTTTCAGCCAAGGGGTTATTGCGTCAATGACAGGATATAACTGCATCAAGAATCCCGTGAAAATGACTAGTATTAACAGAATTTTAACAACTAAATTTAAGCTGAAAAGCAAAATAAACAAATTTCAATTTCCTCCCGAACTTACGTAGTGTCTGGTAAGTTGAGGGTGATAGTGCCCATCGTGTTATCTCCATATGCTATATAACCATAAAATCCACTTGAAGCATAAATTATGGTGACCTAGTATGAATGAGGAACTAGCTTGTTGTTCGGTGCTTTAATTCCTTCTTACCAATGCGATTCCGGTGCTTATGACTCCTGTCCATCCAAGCATTTCTTGTGGATGTTTCATCCTATTCTCGAGAGGCAACACCTTAAATGTTCAAAAATTATTTTTCTCTTCTGTTAACGTTTTTTGTTGTTTTCAAAAATCCCAATTCAGCTAAAAACAAGAAAGAATCCGTCATGTGCACATAGTTTCAAAGAAACTTATGTGTACTTGCCATCCATTCATATAAAAGCTTCAAGTTTCATGAATTAACCTTGCTCCTCTCCAAACGTGAAAAGCTCACATAACTTAGAAGTTTTTGACTTTTTTTTGGAGAAAAAAAAAGAAAACGTAAATTCTTTTTTTTTATACGAAAATACGTTGATTAAGGATCAGCTGAGATGTTTTCAATCTTCTTCCTAAGCTTCGTTGATCCATTTTTTGCTTTCGTTCCTGTTTAGGTTCTCCCCCTTCTTTGAATTTTTATGGTTTCATTTTGAATTATCGTTCTCCTGTGACGTTTATAACTTTAAAAATCAGATTATTCACCATGAATCAAAGTTCACTTCTAGTTAATTTTTATAACCCGCCACACACAAAGTTTGTTTGCTCTGCCGGCTTCACGTTAGCGCACCATTTCCAAAACGTACTTTAGACTTCACGTGTCTAGGCACAAGTCGAAGGTGGGTCATCTCCCATGAACTACTGGCAAGTCCAAAATTTCACTCAATTAGGAGGAAATCATTTTTACACATCTCAATCGAATATCCTTTCATTCACAGACAACCTCACTGTCCTGAAATCATGCGGAAGTCTTTCCGATGAGATTTTCGCCGCTCATTTCAATGAAAGTTCGCATGTTGTTTGGCTCTTTTGGCTTCAGAATGATAAGACGAGAAGATTCTTTACCATAGCCTGACCCTCGAAAGAGTATATAATAGCTCCTGCTGATCCAGCAATGTTCCGAACACTTGTGACAGCTGGTAATGACTCCCAGTTACTGGTTAGCATAAGCAGTTGCTAAAATAAGTAACAGTACTAGTTGGAGAACTCGTAATTGATGGCTCACCGAAAAAATGATAACTATCGATGTTATCATGAGTACATTGCCTGCTAAACTTATGAAAGACATGATATAGATCGATCTGAAATAATTTTTTTTCTCTCCTGTTGATTATATTTGCAAATTATAAAGATCACATACCTTACCCATGATAATAAAAGGAAAGGCAGAATAGCGAATAAGAAGTAGGTGCGTTTTTCGAAAGTCACAGATGGATCGATATGTTCAACTATCTGAGAACTTCTTATCTTTTAAAAATTTTAATATCGTACAAGCTGACCTCTTTCACGTGATCTGTTACAAAAATGAAGAAGACACTACATACACCCAATTGAAGAGCAATTAAACAGAAGTTAACTATGTATCTGAAATATATAGGAAGTTATATAAGATTGTATAAGTTGAACACCTTTTCGTATTCTCTCCCACCCACTCTCTCTCTCACCCACTCTCTCTTTAATTTGAATAACGTCACTGTGGTTTGGGCTCTGAAAGTGTTTTTGCGTCAAAAACTGAAACATCAATCATGTGTGGGCTTGAAAACAGAAGTTAGAAGTCCAAGCAATTATTCGAAATCTCCAGACGATTTTGGTTCGTTCTTCTTGCCTCCTCTCAAACGAAAACTATCCAAAACTATATATTTTTTAATACTTCTCTTGTTCAAAACATTTTTTAGCTTCTTATTTAATCTAGGAATCGATCGAATTTCCTTTTTTAGGCTTCTATTTTCTTTCCTATTAGCTTTCCTATATCTCTCAATGAGTTTCTCTTTTTGTGGCATTCCACCGCTTCTCCTCTCGCTCATCACTTCCTACAATTCCACTTATGCAATCATTCATATTATTTATATTTTAACTAAAATCGGGTGACCACTTTACCTGGCCCATGGAGCCCATCGTCTGAGAACTACTATATATCCTCTCTCAAATGATCTCTCTGCCAATCGTCCATAATCCAATTGTTCAGCATTATGTCTGAAATATTTGGTTTTTTTCGATTCTTCCTTGTTTCAAGTTCAACAAACGGAAATTCTGAATTCATCTCTTATTTCTTCTATCATTATTTACTTTCTTCTTCTTCTATTCTCTTCCTTTCATCATCATTTGAACGAGTTCACATAAACTGCTTTTACCTTTTTTTGAAATACTGCGCACATTCTACAAGTTTCTGCATACAAAGTGAAGTAAAGAATCCCAGGAGAAAGACAAGTACAAAGCCGGCCTGTAAACTCAGGTGATTGTTATCGCTGATTCTCGATAAGTTTTTCTTTTATTATTGCTATGTTTTTCTATTTGCTTCAACAGAGAGTATTCGTTAAGGAAGTAGGTTTTCTATGAAAATTATAATTCAAATTCACCCAAAGTCCGGCCATTTTAAATGCCAATGGTAATGAGAAGCATCCCGGGCCAATCATGCCTTTGAGAAAATTTATTAATGCTAGATGTGCTCTGGAAGTGAAAGTTACCCAATACTCTATTAAACATTTGATAAGTTTTATTCGGAAAATAGTTTTTTTTAATCTGTGTGAGAGAAGTATACATAAGGTGGCTTTGCATAATCATACATCATAAACCATTCGAACTTACGAGATTCCTTTTTTCCCTGTTGGCAAACTGATAGTTGATCCATCCTCAACAGATAATGGTCGAACTTTGTTTGTCATCTATAATACCCACGAGAATAAACATAAAAAATAATAGGAAAAGTAATGCTTTCTGAATGAAAAACAAAAATAATAAATATTCAGAGACTATCTCATCATACAAATGACCCTGACAACGAAACGTGTGTAATGATAGCGATTACGAGTGTGGATTGTTCGGAGGTGGAAAATTGTGGAGCTGCAGTTTTCTAGCTGATTTACGAAGGGGAGAGGGAAAGTACAAATCTTAGAAGGAGAGTGAGATAGAGGGAAGAGAATATGATAGAGAGAGTGATGTTCCAATGTACATTTATGAAATGAATATTCTGAATAATTTTTGTCGGACGACTAACTGTTCGTAATGAAAACCAAATCGACCGTCTGCATTGAAACACATGCGGGTCTTCCTTTGTGAAAATAAGAAATAAAAAGAAAGAAGAAGAAGAAAACTATATATTTTTGTAAACAATTAGAAATAAAAACCCATACAAGAGCGTAAAGTTGAAACACAGAGATTGATGTCGTATGTCGAAACAGGCAATATCATCCATATAAGACGTGATGTTGAAAAAAAACATTTTTTGCTGTCTGTACTAGTTATGATATTTTTCATTCAGATAAGTATCCTTTTGTGTCATAGGAAACGATCAACACACTTTCAAAAAGTGACCGTTCTTTTGCTTCTTTGCACTGTATTTCCATGATTGAAAACATGTTAAAAGAATATAGTTATCGCTAAAGTCACTTCAGATACTGAATAGAGGAAGAGGTATAGAGAGAAGAAGAGAGGAGAGAGAGAATGAGATGACAAGAGAAAAAGAGAGAGAGAATAGAGCAGAAAGTGTGAAATACAAAACGATACAGGAACGTTTGTGTCAGAGTAGAGAGGGAGAACAAGAAAGAACATTTTGAATTGTTGCAAGAGTTGACTCTGTTACATGGGTATATGAACGTTAGAGACGGTTGAAGTAAGTGAAACCTTCAGATATCTCCTTACCAAAACTTTTCCTTATATAGAGATAGTGAGAGAGAAGATGGAATGCTAGAACAGATAAAGAGAAACAGTGATAACAGAATTATTCTAACGAGAGAAAAGAAATAGTGAAAGAGATGGAGAGTGAGAGAGATGGTTGATGATGTATGGTATAAGACAATGCATCTGATTTGACAAATTCACGGAAAATCGTTCCTCTACATTCAGCAAGCAGCATGACGAATACAGCATTTATTAACCTGATGATGATGAAGATGATGATGATGATGATGATGATTTGAATTGAAGAAGAAGTTCTTTAAAAATTCCTTTCACTTTCAAACTCTTTTCACGCTCTCATCTGTCTCATCCAATCTCTTTATATACTTAGCTTATCCTATGTATTTTAAAAATCATTTATATTTATTTTTCATTTATATATCTGCAGTATAAGAATTCATTTGTTTAATTAAGGAAAAGATTTAAAATGGCTTTTATTTACAGAACGATGTGCATTAAAACCATTCTTCTTCTATCTTTGTTAGTCGTTATCACATCAGGTAACTCTTCAGCTTCTTCTATTCTCATCAAAGAACTTCAAAGTCAATATTATAGAATTTTCAAAGATTTTTTTGATTCAATTTACGTCATTTACTTATAATCTTTCTTTAATTAAACATATTATCAAATATTTTTTAAGCGATGATCGATACAATCAAGCGTAACCCAAGTCTCCTTGATTATCTTAAATCTCCTATGCTCATGGGGTATGCTCCTATCCAGGAATATAATAAGGTTTGTTAAAGTAAATACTTCAACACATCAACCTCTTCAATTGCTTCAGGAACTTCCAAACCTACAGTACCTCATGTATCTAAGAGATCCACCCAGATCAAATAGTATTCTCACATTTCCTTGAGATCTCATGCTTTTTCGTCCTCATTCCAGCCCTACTCAAGATACATTTTCTTCTGATCACATCACGAAAAGAAATGAAATCTAATAAAATAATTTTAATTTATTCTCCTGAAATGTTTACTACAGAAAAAAAAGCGTTGAAGCCACAATAAAATGCCGAGTCGTCTCGACTCGCTCTCCAAAGCAGAAAGCAGAAACAGCTTCTCCTTATTCGAACTTTTCAACACTGGTACTTCGATTTGGATGAAAAGTTCGTCGTGCGAACTGGCGTAAAGGTCTCAAAAATCCACTCGACTCACTTTTTTTTTCTAAAATATTAAATGAAAATAAAAAATAAAAAGTTCTTCACCAGGGCATTTTCTGTTTGCTAAGTGGCTGATTCGAGGCAACGTTTGTGAATGAGTTATTTGAATGGAAGCTGAAAAAAAATAAATTTTCTCTTCAATAGATTCTTCCGAAATAACAAGGTGAATGATATTTGGAATTTTCTCATTCATCGAATGCAGGAGAATACATACAGAAATCATTGAGAGTAGTGCTTGAGCTGGATTCAGATATCAAGGTTGACACAGGCACACCGTCCTTATTAGCTTTACGGTTTCTAATATCAGTATTGAATCCGATCTGAAAACGTTCAAAAAACCTAAACAAGATAAGAAAATATTGAATTGCCTTCATTCGTTTGATCAGAACCCGAAGAACATTCCTCCAGCATAGTATAGTTCTGTCCAAATAGAGTATGTTATGAAAATAATTATCCTGAAAAAATATTTTTTCAAGAGAGTTGAAAAGAAAGCTGAAACGAACGTTTTCGAGCACTTTCCGAAAATGATATAGTGTACACTCAATGAAAACTGCCCAATAATAAGGCTTGAACCCTCGCTGTTCTGCTAGACGTCCATGTACTCGTCCTAGGTTATCACACAAACTATCTATCGAAGATGGTTTATCAAGAGCATCAATAACAGATTCAATAACCTCAAACAAACAATTCAAATTAGTTTCATGTTTTGTCTTTGTTTTGTTGTTTCCGAAACATAGAAGAACCAGATTTTTGAGTTGCTAACTAGGGGGGGGGGGAATGAGTTGTCTAACTTTATGTGCAAAATATACGAAAGAGATTAAGCCACAAGTTTTGTATTTTGGTTGGGAAGATTTCTCTTTTTTTTGTCATTTCCATGAAGAATTTTATGATAAGTTTACCTGCATAAATCTTAATCCATGAAATTCCATCTCTTTAGAATGTGTAATCGCACTACCATTTTGATATAGTCTCATGAATGGGAATAACTGAAAGCTTCGGTTATAGTCGCCCACACTATCATACGAATCATGACATATCATCTTGAATGTAGAATAGATATGACGGCTTACCTGTTTAGCATCTGGACTTTGACTAAAAATCATCTCGAATATAGATAATGCTGTCGTATTAATATTCTTTTTAAGGATGGACCAACTTCTTCGAATCAATAACTTGTCTTCAGGTGTTATACCCTCAAGAGCATCCATTTCCTTGTCTATTAAAGCATTATAACATCATATGTTTAATAGATCAGAATGTGTTTTGAGAGAAAAATGAGAAAAAAAAAGCTGAGAAAACAAGATACAGCTGATTGTTAGATTGTCGTGATTGCCAACTAAGAATTTCTTAGAAAAAGAAAACATATTTTGGCTTCTTCAGGTAAAGTTATGGTTATAAGAGTATGTTGAATGGAAACTATGATAGCTTTTCAATCTTGGAAACGAATGAACGCTTAATGACGCCTTCTATATGGAAATACAAATTTAATATATGAATATCGGCATTTTGAGTTTTTGTTATAATTTGCTTCGAAGTATATTTAGAGGAAGTTTTGATATCCGGAATCGTTGATTAGATTATCAAATAAATTACAAACTTATACGAGAAAAGCACTTAGAAACACATTTACATGAGAGATTCTCTGTTTTTCTAATTAGCTTAACGGCATTCCCGGTTAAATATACGAATAATTGAAAATATGTATGCAAAAAGAACTTCTTATAGCGTCAAGTTATAACAGAATCTCTCCTGCTCGAGCGCAAGGGTTCAAAATTTGATTTACTGCTTAGCTATCAAATAGAATTGAATAACAAGCGGGATTAGATATTAGAATTAAAAGAAAGCTGAAAATGGAAAAGAATTAGCGAGAAGCTCAAGGAAATGTAGATTGCTGATGTTAAATGAGGAAGAGAAGAAGAGGTAGTTTGAAGGAAAAGAAAACAGAACGCAAGAGGAAAAGCGAAAATAGAGACAAACAGATGAAAGAGAAGAAAGCAGAGGTGTGAGGTAATCTACAAAAGAGAAAAAATCGAATATTTATGTAAGTGAATTAAGAGAGAAATCAGATTCTGTTGAATGAGTTAATTGAGATGAGCATAGTGGTAAGAAATGAGAATTAAAGAATTTGGTTGTCAATTTCATGTTAGAAGCTCCTTCCTTAAATTAGGAGCAATGAATGTGATAGTTGAAGTGGTTCTCTTCTACGAAAATAACATATGCGAGTCAAATGAGAAAGGAATATGGATGTATGGATATGAGTATTACATCGAAACTTTGAACGAATGTTCCTCCAAACTGGCTTATCTTCTTGATCCATTTTGTCATATTATCAAGATTAAGTTATTGAAAAGGCTAAAGGAGCATATTTAATTCAAGCAGCATGATGTCACTTTCTGTTCTACCATCTTGTAGAAAGATCTTATGAGAAATAGTTTCCGGAAAGTTTCGTTTCCAAATATGGTTGCAAGCAAGTATTGTATTTCAATTAAGTAGCTCGCGTTCACGTTACTTGATTTGAAAAACACGAATCCATTCAAATATCAAGCAGTTCAAATAGGTAGGTGTATCACTTGATCGGAAGAGCACAAAGTCTTCTGAAAAATGTCTAGTAATAACTTTATCTGTGAATTGAGTTGGAAAATAGAAACCTAACGAATTGAAATTTTCAATAGTCTTAAATAACATCTGAACGAATCCCGTTGTCTTGCCAACCAAAACCAAGATAAGCAGCTCATACAAGGTATGCGGTCGGGATGTAGTAAAGTGCGATTCTATCTAAGTAAGCCTGTTAAAGAATTCTACAAAAAATGTAATTTTCTGAGTATTGAAGTGAGGGCAATTGTGTTGGTTTTGAGGTTGATCTCAGGAGAAGATGTAAGATGGCTGTGCTTTACCGTTTCATTCAGTGTTTGTACTTATGAGCGGTGGTGCAATTATTTTCTCCATAATTCGAACCAGCTTTATGTTCCATCATTTAACCTTTTTAGGATTTATAAACAAGTCGAAGCCATGAATGGAACAAACTCAAGACGCAGTTCGCGAGAGCCAAGTAGTGTGATTTGGCTCAATGCAGTTACAGTTTCCAATAGTTATCGATTTTTTGCGGATTAAAAAAATCTTTTAAGTTTGTTTTGATTTCTATTAACTTGTATTTATTTTAATACGTCATACTAATTCTTAATAAGGCGTTTTTGTTTTGTTTTTTTGATGATCGGATGAGGTTTTCAGAGATAAATGCATTCACAGAACTATTGATAGAACCAGTTAATCAAAGCTCTCATGTAACCATGGTTCGCGATATGATATTTCACATATTCGGTAATCAGGATCTTTTCAGTTAAGTCCAATATGCTTTTGATCAGCTATTATTCAATCTGCTTTACTTGATAACATATGTACTAAGCCAGAAAGGTGGGCAGGAACATTTCCTCTTAATGGAAGCTCAACCTTAGTTTCTAACATCAGTAGGATTTGTTCTTAAAATGTATTGTAAGCATGTATTTTTTTAGATCTTACTTAGCTACATCCCTCAGTTATCTGTATCGCTATGAATGTGAAAGTAAGTTTTCAACTTTGGATCTCCCCATTCGTTTTCAACTTCAACACCGTTGTGTTTCCTTCTTCATGGTACATTTTTGTACATCAACTAAACCACTTTTCTAGCATATCATCTATGTCACAATCTTATTCTAGTTGTTCCGTCAGTGCTCCTCAGTTTCTCTGAATACAGATGCGCATATTACAATGAAAAAAGTGATTTATTAGACCTGATACATGATATTTGTCACAGATTCAAAAGTTTAGCCTTTGGACACTAGGTATGAAATTGGCCAAAGCAAAAACACAACCTTTCAACCGTTCATCGACGTGAGTTTTCTAGAAGGCTTATGCGTTCTTTGTGTTTGTTTTTCATTTTCAACGTGAACGTGAGAGCAAAAACACGACCGTACAACTCTCCATCACAGTGAAAAATGAAACTGCTTCATTTTCATTTTCATTTTCATCGCGCAAATGAAAAATGCGCGGTGTCTGCCTGTAAACTTCAGAATGTCAGATTTTCCTTCAATTTCGATGAATTTACATTATTTTTTAAATTTAATATTATTTTGAATTTTTTGGAGAAAAAAGAATGATATGAGAGGAATGAAAAAAATAGAAGAAGAAACACGAGGAACATCGTACAAGATGTAGGAAGAATCGATGAGTGGCCACTTTGCTTTCACCTGAAAATAAAATTAAAGCAATTTTTAACGTGTAAGGGGGACGTTCGCCGACTCAAAACCTCACCACTGGTGAGCAGTGAGCCAACTAGCCATGAACCCCAAACATGGCATTCTATCCGAAGA